AGTGAGACTGTCTCTATAAAACACAAATAAACAAAAAACCAAAAACTGGCCAGGTGCGGTGGCTCACACCGATAATTCTAGCACTTTGGGAGGCCAAGGCGGCAGGATCACGAGTTCAGGAGTTCGGGATCAGTCTGGACAACATAGTGAGACTCTTGTCTCAAAAAACAAAAACAAAAACAAAAACAAAAATTAGCCAAGTGTGGTTACTCGCACCTATAGTTCCAGCTACTGGTGGAGGGGGGGTGGGGCGGCGGGGAGTGGTGAGGCAGCAGAATTGCTTGAACCTGGCAGGCCAAGGTTGCAGTGAGCTGAGATTGTGCCACTGCACTCCAGGCTGCATTAGAGAGCAAGACTCTGTTTCAAAAGAACAAACAAACTGTGTGTATGTGATTATTAAAGCAGTTCATTTTTACTGTAAATTCTGAAACATAAAGGAAGAAAAAGTCATTTATGAAATGAAGGAAAAAGGGGAAAAAAAGAAAAAAAAAGAAAAAGTTATTTATGAACCCAATATTCAGAGATAACTAGGGTTTAACATTTTCATGTATTCCTTTAGACTATGTTCTATTCTTTCATTTTTATTAGGAAACTATTCTTCCCCCCTTTATTGACTAATCTATGTTTCAATCCCTGGCAGTTAATAAAATAAAACTAGTTTTTATATTCATTAATATTTGAAAGATTTTGAGTTTTACTACTAAAACAATGTTTCTTAATCTCAATGCAACTATGAAAGCAATAATGCCTTCTTTAAACATAGCTGTATTTCTCTCTTTTTATAAATTATGTACTTGCTACTACTCTAGTATTGGACTGTCACTGAAGAGAAGTAGTTTATTGACTGTAGCACATTAGAATTAAATGGATTCACTGGAAGTGAACCAAGTATTATGAATCCCTTACTTGGCAACCTACTCCATACTGGAAGTAAAAAGTTTTCAGGTAAATATGCATATGATGTATATCCCATAACAACAGGGTTGCCAAGAGGTATTTCAAAATAGTAGTCCCATTTTCACTGGTGAAATAAAACAATTTAAGGAAGATGAGGTTGTATTTTACTAGAATAAAATTTTGCAAACAGATTTTCTTTTAGGAATACTCTATTGTGAGGCTGGCACCTCTGATGAATTCTAGTATTCAGCCTCTCACCTGCTGTCAGGGACCTCTTAAAGATCTGTCGAAGTTCCCATAGCAGGGATTGTAGTTTGGAAGCAATTTTGGACACACGTGCTTGATAACGTGCTCTTCAATTGCCACATACTCAAAGAAGATTTCAATCTGACTCAAACAGAAGCCAAACTTGAAAGTAACCTACTGACAAAGATAACCAATGAAGACATTGCTCATTCTAAATCTGTATGGAAACATATAATGTCTCTCTAGCCTTTCTCTGACATGACATCACTCCACTTAAGTCAGGATCCAAAATGGAAATACTATTCTAGTCCTACTAAGACAATCTAAAATTGAAATGTGAAAATATATAGTAAAATCATTTAAGTTGCTTATTTTTTCACTTTTTCTTCTTTATAGCCAAGAAAATTAATTTGTTAATAATAACACCTTCAGAATGAATCACTCTTATTACATATTGAAAATAAGAACCGATTGCTATGGAAAAGGTAAACAAGAGTTTCTGGAAATATAAATATGATTGTGGAAGCTAAAACTTTAATTAATAGACAACTGATATAAAAATAGTAAAAACTAAATGAGTCATTTGAAGGTAAACCTGGGTAAATCTTAAAAAATGTAGTAGGGGAGGCCAGGTGTGCTGGCTCATGCCTGTAATCCCAGTACTTTGGGAGGCTGGGTTGGGTGGATCACTTGAGATCAGCAGTTTAAGACCAGCCCAGCCAACATGGTGAAATCCCATCTCTACTAAAAATACAAATTGCTTGAGAGGCTGAGGCATGAGACTTGCTTGAACCTGGGAGGCAGGGGTTGCAGTGAGCTCAGATCCTGCCACTGCACTCCAGCCTAGGCAACAGAGCAAGACAATGTCTCCAAAAAAAAAAAAAAAAAGGAAAGAAAAAGAAAACATAGATGGGAAAAAAGTGGAAAACACAAGAAAAAATTGATTCCTAGCATGTCAAGTGGTACGACATTTGTCTAGTGGGAATTCCAGAAGGAGGAACTGAAAGTTTAAGAAATAATTTAAAAAATAATACCAGGCCAGGCATGATGGCTCATGCCTGTAATCTTAGCACTTTGAGAAGGTGAAGTAGGAGGACTGCTTGAATTCAGGAGTTTGAGACCAGCCTGGGAAACAAAGCAAGACCCTGTCTCTACAAAAACTTTAAAAAGCCAGGCACAGAGGTATTCATATGAAGTCTCAGCTACTCAGGAGGCTAAAGAAGGAGAATAGCTTAAGCCAAGGAGTTCAAGGCTGCAGTGAGCCATGATCACACCACTATAACTCTAGCCAGAGCAATAGAGCAATAGAGCAATTCTCTGTCTCAAAAAAAGAAAAGAGAGAGAGAAAAAAGAAAATTCCTCTGAATTTTCAAACTGAAAACCTATCCAGTGCCAAGCCAAAATGTGTGAAAAGATCCATGCCTACATATATCGAGGTGAAATTTCACAATTCTCGTGATAAAGTCTTAAAAGCTTATAGAGAAAAAAAAATTAAGAGGATAAAACAAAAATATAACAAAAAAATGCAATGGAATGATTCCGAATGGCACTGAAATTCTCAATAGACTGGAGACTAGAGCCTAGAGCACATGGAGATTGTAGGCTAGAGAATGATGGAATAGTAGTCTCAAAGTTGTGAGCAAAACAATTTTGATACTGAAACCATTATCCAGCCAAATTATTACATGAGTGTGAGGGCAACATAAAAACATTTTTAAACATGCAAGGATTCATAATGTTTACCACCATACACATACTAATACATATTACTTAAGGAGGAACTTCATCAAATAAACAATCAATTAAGGAAAGAGAATCACATGAGATTTTTAATGTTGCTCCTGAGTAGAACCTAAAAACAAGAAAAAGAAAGATGACAGGAAATAAAGAAATCATTTGATGATGCCTTTTTCTTTTTTGAGACAGAGTCTCCTCCTGTCGCCAGGCACCAGGCTGGAGTGCAGTGGCAAGATCTTGGCTCACTGCAACCTCTGCCTCCCAGGTTCAAGCAATTCTCCTGCTTCAGCCTCCTGAGTAGCTGGGACTACATGTGCATGCCACTATGACCAGCTAATTTTTGTATTTTTTTAGTAGAGACGGGGTTTCACCATGTTGGCCAGGATGATTTCAATCTCTTGACCCTGTGATCCGCCCACCTCGGCCTCCCAAAGTGCTAGAATTACAGGCATGAGCCACCACACCCAGCCAATTTTTTTTTTTTTTTTTTGAGACATAATCTTGCTCTGTTGCCCAGGCTGGAGTGCAGTGGTACAATCTCAGCTCACTGCAACTTCTACATTCGGGTTCAAATGATTCTCCTGCCTCAATCTCCTGAGTAGCTGGGATTACAGGCACCTACCACCATGCTTTGCTAATTTTTATATTTTCAGTACAGACGGGGTTTCATCATGTTGGTCAGGCTAGTCTTGAACTCCTGACCTTCTGATCCGCCCACCTCAGCCTCCCAAAGTGTTGGGATTACAGGCACAAGCCAATGCGCCTGGCTTTTTTTTTTTTTTTCTAGATGAGGTCTTGTTCTGCCACCCAGGCTGGAGTGCAGTGGGGTGATCTCAGCTCACTGCAACCTCCACCTCCTGGATTCAAGCAATTCTGCCTCAGCCTCCTGAGCAGCTGGGACTTGATTATATTTTTTTAAGGAGACAGGGTCTTGCTCAGGCTGGAGGGCAGTAGTGTGATCATAGCTCACTGCAGTCTCAAACTCCTGGGCTCAAGTGATGGATGATAACTTGAAACATTCTCCCCAAAGCAGCAGGGGAGATTTTAGTAACTAATGTAGAATTTTTATTCCTTATAAATCCAAGCACAATACTTTGTTGTGCGGTGAATGCTTTTATAATCATAATTCTACAAATTTCTCATTATTTTGTTTAAATATTAGATGAATTTACAGACAAAACACGTATCATTTAATAATAGAATATTACAAACTAGGAGACAGGAAATGAGAGATAAGAATAGATACAGTATTTCAAGTTATAATGGTAATCTTTGGAAGAGAAAAAAAAAGATTACTAAAGGGAGTTATTTATGGAGAGTGATAGTAGAAAGAGGTAGTTTTTTCCCTTTTAATACAATAATTGTAATATATCATCCAATAGGATGATTATATGATTTTAACAATAATTATAATATATCATCCAATAGGATGATTATATGATTTTATCAATAGAATACTGACCAAATGGAGAGAAACATATACATCTAGAGGTACTGACATTTAAAAAAGTCTTTAAGAAATAAACTTCAGAAATGATAGTGGATAATTAGTTGATCCTATTTATGCTAAAAAAAATTATATGAGTGTATATATGTTAATTTGTAAGACGTTTTCAGTGATGTAACAACTACTTACTCAAATGGCAGGGGCCTCTGAAGAGATTTCATTGGTGTGAATTATATTTTTAATAAGCAGAATTCATAGGCTGCACCTTGGTTTTCTTCAGGTCTAGCCTAAATTTTTATTAGTCACTGATTATGTATGCCTGTACTACTTAACATTTTTGGTATTATTCTCAAGAGAATAAGAAGAAATTTCAATAATGTCTAAAATATTAATATGTTAGTTAATCCAGCTGTTACTCAATCTGGCAAACTTAAGAAACATTAGTTATTCTCTCTAAATAGTATTTTATGCTTGGAGAAAAACAAAACGTAATCAAAAACTGTGACTTTTTTCATATTGAAAAATTTGAAAATGTATAGCATTATAAAAATCAAGTTGGATTTCTGGCATTAGGCAACTCCAAAAACAATTAACATTATCTATTTTTGCCTCACACAACATTAAAATATATTCAGTCATAAGTCTTCTCTTTAATAATTTAGTTTTTTCTTACCAGGCTATTTTCTTTCCAGGCTTCTGGGAACTTGGGTCTCTGTTTTTCTCTAGACACAAGAACCTGCATATCCTCGAAAGTGGGATGGTTTCCAACCTCTGTCTGAAAAGCCATCTGGTACTCTGGTACGGATTCCCCTGTGTATTTGTAGAAAAAAATGACAGAATAAAATTTCCAGTTACCATAAATGATAGAATAGCAGGGGTATTTCTGATACTAAGTAAGCAAAAAAACTGTGTCATCATCTTTTTATTTTTTTAACCTCTTCAGGCATATTTCGAAATCCCAAAGAGACCTTGTTGTAGGTTTAATAATTCTTTTTTTTTTTTTTTTTTTTGAGACAGTTTCACTCTTGTCTCCCAGACTGGAGTGCAGTGGCTTGATCTCAGCTCACCACAACCTCCAACTCCTGGGTTCAAGCGATTCTCCTGCCTCAGCCTCCAGAGTAGCTGGGATTACAGGCATGTGCCACCATACCCAGCTAATTTTTTATTTTTTCTTAGTTGAGATGGGTTCCTCCATGTTGGTCAGGTTGGTCTCCAGCTCCCAACCTCAGGTGATCTGCCTGCCTCAGCCTCCCAAAGTGCTGGGATTGATTACAGGCATGAGCCACTGCACCCAGCCAATTTTTTTTTTTTTTCAAAGACAGAGTCTTACTCTGTTGCCCAAGCTGGAGTGCAGTAGCACGATCTTGGCTCACTGCAACTTCCACCTCCTGGGTTCAAGTGATTCTCCTGCCTCAACCTACCGAGCAGCTGGGATTACAAATGGACATCACCACACTGGCTAATTTTTGTATTTTAGTAGAGATGGGGTTTCATCATGTTGGCCAGGCTGGTCTCGAACTGAACTCAGGTGATCCACCAGCCTTGGCTTCCCAAAGTGCTGGATTACAGGCGTGAGCCACCATGCCCAGCCTAATGCATTATTAATAAACGCTTGGCTTAGAATAGTCTCAAATATTTGTTGACAAATCAAATGGTAGTTTCAATGATGGATACGTATTTTTAAATGGTTTCTGGCATTACTAAATTCAGGGAAAAAAGACTATTACATTTATAAGGCATACATAATACTTGAAAGTAGGCCTGTACACTGATCCCATAGAGGGTGGTGAAGATAAGGAAAAAGTCCAGGACCTAGTACAACAAATATGCCTATAGAACCAAATATACATGGGTGGGTTGAATACATCATTGGTTCTATTATAGTCCAGCCAGACTGTATCAAATGTCACAAAAATATTTATAATAATGGTCATTTGAAAGAAAAAAATCAATATACTTTAAACAATTTTTTTTAAAAGAGGCTGGGTATGGTGGCTCAGGCCTGTAATCTCAGCACTTTGGGAGGTCGAGGCAGGTAGATCACCAGGTTAGGAGTTGGAAACCAGCCTGACCAACAGGATGAAACCTCGTCTCTACTAAAAATACAAAAATTAGCTGGGTGTGGTGGCAAATACCTGTAATCACAGCTACTCAGGAGGCTGAGGCAGGAGAATTGCTTGAACCCTCGAGGTGGAGGTTGCAGTGAGCCGAAATCGTGCTTCTGCACTCTAGCCTAGGCAACAGAGCAAGACTTCATCCAAAAAGAGGCAGGCAGGCAGGCAGGAATGAAGGCAGGAAGGCAGGAAGGCAGGCAGGAAGAAGGAAGGAAACAGGGTCTTACTTTGCAGCCCAGGATGGAGTGCAGTGGCATGATCATAGCTCACTGTAATTTGAACTCCTGCGATTAAGTAGCCTCCCTAGGAGCTAGGACTATAGGAGTGTGCGACCACGTCCAGCTAATTTAAAAAATGTATTTTTGTACCGATATAAGGTCTTGCCATGTGGCCCAGGCTGGTCTCATACTTCTGCCTGCTGATGGTGTGAGCCACTATGCCCAGCCCTAAAAATTCCTTTTAACTAACAGGTACTATTTAGGATCATGGACTTAAATATTATTAACTATTTTGTTCACTGTTTAATAACCCTATTCATTGCCAATAAGCACAATCAACTGTAATGTCAGGCTTTCAAATTTTACAAAATATGATACTAAAATGAAGTTTATGTATATAACATATTGAACCACATAGAAAACCTCTGGAACCAACAATGAGAAAACCCATGGTCTAGTAGAAATCATGGCAAAGAACACAGAACAAGAGACTCTTCCTGTCTCTTTACTCCTCCTCCTCCCATCCTATTAAAATGACAGGATAAATTACAAGGAAGAACACCAACAGAGGAGGATAAGGCATTTAGGTTCTAATCTTGGCTTCATCTCGACCTTGGAAAAGTCACTTAACAATTCATGTTTTACATTTCCTGTAGGCAAAATGGCAATGTCTGCCACCTTCCTTATATCATTCACATGGAGATAATACAAAGTTATAATGACCCAGATGGAAATCGCATTATAAATAAGTTTATGTTTCATTTAAGTTTCTATTTGAATACTCAAAACAATCCATAAATACTTGCCCTCCACCAATATTAAAAAAGATTTACAAAGATTAATTCTATTATCTACATAGCATTGCTCAAGTTTATTGTAATATACTGCCTTATGTATAAATACAAGTGATTTTCACATACTGTAAACATTTAAGCAGATACTTAGTGTTGATCAATAACATCGACATTGAACTTGAGAGATAAAGGATTTAATCATGCCAGTTAGTATATCACTTTCTTCCTTGAAATCCCATATGATAAAACCTTATCCGATACCATCTGTGAACTGTAAGATATTTATTAATATATCTTATCTGTCTCTCACACACACAACACATACACGTATCTTCCAAGTGTTATTGTTTTTTCAAATGCTGGTTTAGTAGAATAACTAAAAATTCACTACTCTTTTAAAAAATTGGACCCAAAGTATAATTTTAAAACTTGCTAAAGGAAATTGAAGTACAATCTTTTATGAATGCAATGGTTAAGAATTACCAAATAAATTTCCACTAAATCTTCACAGTTGAAAATCTAACTGTTCAACAGAAACTTGTTTACCACTAACTTAGTTTTAGGTATTGGAGACACAAAGGTGAATGTTAATGACAAACATCTTCATTATGGAAGATATTAACCTTACTGGACTTCCTTAAAACCTTACTGAATTTCCTTACTATCACTGGATTGCTCAAGGGAAATTTTATAATCTCCCTTTCTTCAGAACTGCCCAAAATACCTTATAGTAATATCTGGCGCTATCAGATACCATTCCTTGCTTCTCACTTTATTTGCCACTTGTTAGCTAAGTCTCTACCAGTTAGACTTTTTCTTTTAGCTCCCTTCTCAAATTACACTTATTCTTTCTTCCTTTTTCTTTCTGGGGTACGTGAGCTATGACTGCACCACTGTACTCCAGCCTGAGCAAGAGTGAGACCCTGTCTCTTAAAAAAAAAAAAAAAAAAACAAGTACTTGTGATACTAACACAATTACTGCTATTTTCAGAAAAATGCCTCGATTGAATCTCTGTACTTTTAATTAACTAGAAAATGCACTTTTTTTTTGAGACAGACTTTTGGTTTGTCGCCAGGCGCCAGGCTGGAGTGTAGTGGCGCAATCTCGGCTCACTGCAATATCCGCCTCCTGGGTTCAAGCAATTCTCCTGCCTCAGCCTCCCGAGTAGCTGAGACTACAAGCACGCGCCACCACATCCAGCTAATTTTTGTATTTTTTAGTAGAGATGGGGTTTCACCATGTTGGCCAGGATGGTCTCAATCTCTTGACCTCATGATCCGTCTGCCTCGGCCTCCCAAAGTGCTAGGATTACAGGCGTGAGCCACCACGCCGGGCTGAAAATACACTTCTAAACAATAACTAATTGACCGTTAATCTAAATAATCACTAATTTATTTCATTATATTTTTGAATTACAAACTAATGTTTGGCCTGGTGTGGTGGTTTCACTCCTATAATCCCAGCACTTTTGGAGGCTAAAGTGGACAGATCACATGAGCCCAGGAGTTTGAGACCAACCTAAGCAACGTGGTGAAACCCTGTCTCTACGAAAAATACAAAAATTAACGAGGCTTAGTGGCACATGCCCTGTAGTCCCAGCTACTTGGGAGGCTGGGGAAGGAGTATCACCTAAGCCTGAGGAGGTCAAGGCTGCAGTGAGCTATGATCACACCACTGTGTTCCAGCCTAGGTAACAGAGGTAATTTTTCTTAAAAAAAAAATTAAAAGTATATATATATATATATATATATACACACACACACACATACACACACACACACACACACACACACACACACACAGAGAGAGAGAGAGAGAGAGCGCGAGAGAGAGATGTATCTTTATATGTATTTAATTTAAAAACATTAATAATGGAGTTGAATTGTTTTGCTTTAAAGACATTAAGCATTAAACATTGGCCAGGCGCAGTGGCTCAAGCCTGTAATCCCAGCACTTTGGGAGGCCGAGGCGGGCGGATCACAAGGTCAAGAGATCGAGACCATCCTGGCCAACATGGTGAAACCCCGTCTCTACTAAAAATAATTAGCTGGGTGTGGTGGCGTGCGCCTGTAGTCCCAGCTACTTGGGAGGCTGAAGCAGAAGAATTGCTTGAACCCAGGAGGCGGAGGTTGCAGTGAGCCGAGATTGTGCCACTGCACTCCAGCCTGGGGCCTGGCGACAGAGTGAGACTCTGTCTCAAAAAAAAAAAAAAAAGAAAGCATTAAACATTACTTTATAGCACTATTTATCTTTTTAAATAGCTCCATTTCATAAATTTGTCCAATGCTGGGTTCCTTTTTCTATGCTTTTAGTGGTGTTATTACTAAAAGACAGAGGCCACACAGATCAAATCATCTGTACAGCCTCTAGAAGAATGCAACAACAGATTTACAGTTAAAGTTTTTAGATGATAATATAATGATACAATCCCTAAGAAGGGGAGAAAAACTATAAATTCATTTGGCTATTTCAAGTAAGCCTCAAACAAACATTCAATTAAATGGGTATTCTTTTTTTTTTTTTTTGAGACAAGAGTCTTGCTCTGTTGCCCAGGCTGGAGTACAGTGAGGCAATGTCGGCTCACTGCATCCTCCGCCTCCTGGGTTCAAGTGATTCTTTTGCCTCAGCCTCCAGAGTAGCTGGAACCACCACACCCAGTTAATTTTTGTATTATTAGTAGAGACAGGATTTCACCATATTGGCCAGGTTGGTCTCAAACTCCTGACCTCATGATCTGCCTGCCATGGCCTTCCAAAGTATGGGAATTACAGGCGTGAGCCACCACGCCTTTTTTTTTTTTTTTTTTTTTTTTTTTTTTTTTGGAGACAAGAGTTTCACTCTTGTTGCCAAGGCTGGAGTACAATGGCACCATCTTGGCTCACTGCAACCTCCGCCTTCTGGGTTCCAGTGATTCTCCTGTCTCAGCCTCCCAAGTAGCTGGGATTACAGGTGTGAGCCAGCACGCATTTTTTTTTTTTTTTTTTTTTTTTTGGAGACAAGAGTTTCACTCTTGTTGCCAAGGCTGGAGTACAATGGCACCATATTGGCTCACTGCAACCTCTGCCTTCTGGGTTCCAGCAATTCTCCTGTCTCAGCTTCCCAAGTAGCTGGGATTACAGATGCATGCCACCACACCTGGCTAATTTTTTTTTTTTAATCTTTAGTAAAGACAGGGTTTCATCATATTGGTCAGGCTGGTCTCAAACTCCTGAACTCAGGTGATTCACCAGCCTCGGCTTCCCAAAGTGCTGGGATTACACGCATGAGCCACCATGCCCAGCCAATGAGTATTCTTTCATTGAAAGGAAAAAGAGGGGAGGGGAGGAGAGGGAAGAGGAGGGGAGGGGAGGGAGAAGGAAGGAGAAAGGGAGCATAAAAAAAGGAAAAAGAAAAAGTATTTACAAATAATTCATTGCTTCTAATTCCTTACAGGGTCAACTCAGTAAACATCCTAAATATAGCTTGTCTTCAACACTCAGATGGTGCATAAGAAAAATGTTGAATGCTAAAGCAATCAGAGACCTAACGAAATAGAGTTCAATAAGCTATTACTGGCAATCAATTAAACTGCACTCAGATGAAAACATGGGACACTCTAAAAAAAATGTCCTGATTCACATCCTTCTGCTAATAATGTTTCTAAACACTAGATGTCAATGAACTAGAGGTTTAAATGAAAGTAAAAAGATTCTTACATAAACGTTGAGTTATGTACTACAGGTAGAGAAAGAAGACATAACTGTTTCACTTCAAAACATACGAACTTTTGACAGCAGTTTTTACCTGGGAAGAGGTCTGTACATCTCATAAATATCTCCCAATAGATTAGTCCAAGAGCATACATGTCTACTTGTTTCAAAGCTGATTCACAGTCCCTCAAGTTCACAGCTCCTTCTAGCACTTCTGGTGCCATATATCTGATAGTGCCAACCTAATAAATTAGAGTGGTATTTTTTAGAGAAAGAATGTAGCATATTCTGAAGAACAGACATTAGACCAGAAGTTACATGTAAATCTTAGTCATGTCAATGTTATTTGACCCTAACCACATCACCAAACCTTTCTATAACTTATTTTTTACCTATAAAATGCCCTTCCTGAATAATTAAACTGTGGTAAATCAATTTTAGTGAGTATTATTCATTATTCAAAAAGAATGAGCTAGACTTTCCTATGTATATCAACATAAATAATCTGTAAGATACACTGAGAAAATTACAAAACAATATGTATGCCACCTAATATTTTTTAAAATTCACAAAAATACAGCTGGGCGCAGTGACTCACACCTGTAATCCCAGCACTTTGAGAGGCTGGGTAGGGTGGATCACCTGAGGCCAGGAGTTCAACACCAGCCTGACTAACATGGTGAAACCCTGTCTCTACTAAAAATACAAAAATTAGCTGGGCGTGGTGGCACACACCTGTAATCCTAGCTACTTGGGAGACTGAGGCAGGAGAATTGCTTGAACCAGGGAGGCAGAGGTTGTGATGAGCCAAAATCGTGCCACTGCACTCCAGCCTGGGCAACAAGAGCTAAACTCCATCTCAAAAAAAAAAAAAATCACAAAAATACATACATGTTGTACATAAACATGTATATATGAATACAGAGAACAAAATTGGGAAGGATATATTCCACATTGTAATGGTGATTATCAAAAGATGGACTATCTTATCTTAAACTTGGTAACTTTACTAGTGCTCCAAAAATCACTTCCTACAAATTTGTTCCTAATGCTTGTAAAAAGTACTTGGAATGGCAGTGAGTTCCAAAATAAACTGATGAACTTTACAAAGGCCTTTAGGTGATGTATTTTATATTTCCTAATTTTGTAATTCCTAGTATTCTATAATTGACAGTATATGAGAATAATTGTTCTGAGTCTCACTCTATCACCCAGGCTGGAGTGCAGTGGCATGATCTCAGCTCACTGCAACCTCCACCTCCCAGGTTCAAGCAGTTCTCCTGCCTCAGTCTCCCGACTAGCTGGGATTACAGGTGCGTGCCACTGCACCCAGCTAAGTTTTGTATTTTTAGTACAGATGGGGTTTTACCATGTTGGTCAGGCTAGTCTTGAACTCCTGATCTCAGGTGATCCACCCACCTGGGCCTCCCAAAGTGCTGGGATTACAGGCGTGAGCCACCTACTAGCTGGTAGATGTTTTAATTAAATTCATTATTATTTCAAGGTACATCAGTGTGATAACCTTTTGTATATACTCACCTCACTTATGGCTGCATTATCTTCTTCCCCTGGGCGCACCAGTCTATTTCCAGTTAGCCTCATGGACAATCCAAAGTCACTAATAACACAGGTTCCATCATTTTTCACTAGAACATTTCTGCTGTTTAAATCTCGATGGGAAATTGCAGGTTTATAATGATCTGTTTGGATAATTTCAAATATTTAGTAATGACTAAAAAGCATTATTGAACATGAAATGAACATGCAGGTAATAGGAACTACATAAATATAAAAGTAGTGTTATTTTTCTGCCCATTAATTTTCTAATAAAAAAGACAAATCAAAATTTAAACTCACATTCATCACTATTTTCTAACATATTTTATAATTTAACTTCTATCACATGTATAGTTAATTAAACATTAAAACTAACAAACATGCTGCCACTTCAAATTCTAACACACACTTTTTTTTTTCTCTTCATTTATAGTATAGGGCTGCAAAAAGAGGCAATACAGAAAGGAATATTTGGTATAAACACCAAAAAAACAAGAAGGTCAAATTGTCTAAAATAAGTATCAGTGAAAAACTAACAGAGATCCAAAATTTTAATGTAAATGTTAAACTGCTCTCTTACAGCTTAATAGATCAAACCTGGGACAGCACATTCCAGTTCTACCCTGAGGTTTAGCCATATCTCTAAGCCCACCTCAGCTTTTCAAATCTAACTAGAAATAGTTTTATAATGGTTTGGAAAAACAAGCAGAGGAATTGGTATCTCTCACCAAGATATGAAAACTTGTTTTTCTAATTTTACAGAAGAAAAGTAGTGTTATGCTCCTTCTATTACTTTTTTAATCCTTATCATATGACTACAAGCTCCATGAAGGCAGAAAGAGAACATATTTTGCCAGAATTTAAAAGGCTTGGCACAGGATAGATGCACAGTAAATGCTTGCTGACTGAAAGAATGAATCTAACCTAAGCCTCTCACCAAATATAATTACATTATATTTTTTCTCTCTATAAGGAAATCTTATATAAACCTTATATTAAATAAAACCATAGCTCTGAAACTGAAAAAAAAAATTTATAGCACAATTTCTGAAATTTAAAATGTCTGCCTAGGTATACAGAAAAACAGAGCAATTAGAACAAAGTCAATACATTAATGAGCATTCAAATGCAATTTCACTAATAATGAAACTATAGATAATAATGATCCTTGATATAAAAAAAATTAAGCAACAGTACAATTTGAATAAAAAATAGGAGTTACCAAGTTTCTTCACCTAAGAGTTGATTTCTTTATCATTTTCTCCCTTCCCCATTTCCTATTCTCTAGTCTTCTAAAGCTTGTATTTACTTGGCTCCTACTCAATTCCTGCAAGAGCTGCATTTCTTACTCTGGATAAAGCTACAACATAAGTATATGTGGTACAATCTTGAGCTAATATTTATCTAGGAAAACTTAGAGAAACATTGGAATATTATTTACATACTAATACCAAATCAATGAGTAGAACTACAGACTGCCCTTTTGAGACAAGTTTTCTCTTTGAAACTCCCCTCTGTACTCATTTAAATCTTCTTTATTTGGGTGTGGAGGGAGGTGGAACATACAGTAATTTTGCCCTGGGCAAAGCACTGAAGTAGGCAAATATCTCAAAAGAAATCACAACAAGATATTAGTTATATATATATATATATATATATATATATATATATATATATATATTTTAAACTTGAACAAAAATAGTCAATCTATGAATTTTTTTTTTTCTTTTTTAAGACAGAGTCTCTCTGTTGTCCAGGCTGGAATGCAGTAGTGTGATCTCATCTCCCTGTAACCTCCACCTCCTGGGTTCAAGTGATTCTGCTGCCTTAGCCTCCTGAGTGGCTGGGACTACAGGCACGTGCTACTACCCTTGGCTAATTTTTTGTATTTTTAGTAGAGACAGGGTTTCACCATATTAGCCAGGATGGTCTTGATCTCCTGACCACGTGATCCACCTGCCTCAGCCTCCCAAAGTGCTGGGATTATAGGCATGAGCCAATCTATGGATATTTATGCATACATATTACCAGTGCTATGCCCCTGCCCCCCCAAAGACCTTAAAAACTATACACAAACTACTTAACAGTAATTTTCTGGTGAAGTCTGAGTTGTCTGTATCTATTTTTTTGGTCAGATACTTCTTTGGTAATAAGCATGCATTGCTATTATAATATGGAAAAAATTCATAGGGGGATCTTATTACAAATAAATGGGTTTAATTCTTCCTTATTCTGAAACAAAAGCTGAATAAGTAATAACAGTGTAATTCCTTACTATCAAATTTCTATTCTAAACAGTAAAGTTATATCTGAAGATGCTGGGAAGAACAGAATTCAGTGAAAGAACACTTCAAGTAAAAATAGTATAGTATAGGCATATAGATGATCCCCCACTTACAGATTTAGGATTTCTCAACTTTACAGTGGTCTGAAAGCATTAAACAATCAGTAGAAACCATACTTCATTCCTTTTTTTCACTTTCAGAACAGTATTCAATAAATCACGAGATATTCAATCCTTCATTATAAAGTAGACTTGGTGTTGGATGATTTGGCCAACTACAGGCTAATATAAGTGTTCTGAGCATATTTAAGATAGTTAAGGCTAAGCTATAATGTTCAGTAGGTTAAATGCATTTTCAACGTACAATACTTGTAACTTATGATTTTTTTTTCTTTCTTTTTTTTGAGACAGAGTCTTGCTCTTTTCACCCAGGCTGGAGTGCAGTAGCATGATCTCGGCTCACTGCAACCTCCTCCTCCTGGGTTCAAGTGATTCTTCCGTTTCAGCCTCCCGAGTAGATGGGATTACAGGCACCTGCCACCACTCCTGGCTAATTTTTGTATTTTTAGTAGAGACAGGGGTTTCACCATGTTGGCCAGGCTGGTCTCGAACTCCTGACTTCGTGATCTGCCCACCTCAGCCTCCCAAAGTGCTGGGATTACAGGCGTGAGCCACTGCGCACTATTTTCTTTCTTCCATATTTTTTAAAAACAGGGTCTCGCTCTGTTGCTCAGGCTGGCTGTAGTGCAGGGGCATTATCTTGGCTCACTGCAGCCTTGACCTCCTGGGCTCAGGCAATTCTCCCACCTCAGCATCCTAAATAGCTGGGACTACAGGTACACGCCATGACATTGGGCTAATTTTTTATTTCTGTAGAAGTGAGGTCTCACTATGTTGCCAAGGCTGGTCTCAAACTCCTGGGCTCAGGACTTTGATCCTCCTGCCTTGGCCTTCTAAAGTGCTGGGATTAGAGGCATGAACCACTGTGCCCAGCCACCTTATAATTAGTTCACTGGGACATAATCCCATTGTAAGTCAAGGAACATCTATACTTGGAAATACTTTTTAAATAATCAGGTAAAAACCATAAATTCTGGGCAGGCGCAGTGGCCCACACCTATAATCTCAGCACTGAGAAGCCAGGGCGGGTGGATCACCTGAGGTCAGGAGTTTGAGATTAGCCTGACCAACATGGTGAATACCTGTCTCTTCTAAAAATACAATTAGCCCGGCATGGTAGCAGGCATCTGTAATCACAGCTAGTTGGGAGGCTGAGGCAGGAGAATTGCTTGAACCCAGGAGGCGGAGGTTGCAGCCCGAGATTGTGCCATTGCACTCCAGCCTGGGTGACACTGCAACACTGTCTCAAAAAACAAAACAAAACAAAACAAATTCAAATAGCTACTATATTTATATGCAATAACAGCAACTATGTACTTAGTTTTTAAAAAGGTAACTATTACCCTTATTTAGTGGTAACATTAGCTAATGTTTCAGAGTAACAGCGCTGTTTAAATAAAACTTAATATCTGATGGCAATCATTCTTTTCAGCCTACATTTGACTTGAAACCTTGCTAAATTATGCAAGCCTTAAAAAGAAAGATTAGAATGGTATTTTAAGTTCTGTGCTAAGCCAGCTTTTTAAAGGGATTATAATATTTAAAAGCTAGGTGGACACAGTTCAATGGTTAATGTGCTAAAGCACTAAAGAAAGTACATCAAGTTGCTGACACAGGCAATACTTTGGACAATTCTGTATTCAGGAAAAGCAAGATGTCAAGATAAATGAACAGATAAATTATTCAGGAGAAATTATTTATACATGAAGCATCAGCTACAAAAGATGATCCATGCTAATATACAATGGAACAAAGATCTAAGAAACTGATATATATAAAGTTCCCTTCATGAAAGAGGTCAGAGAGACTAAAAAAAAAAAAAGTCAGGGCTACAGTATGACAAGAAAATGTAGAAAGGGATGAGGGTAGAAGAAAGCACAAAGACAGAATTAACATAGCAAAAGTAACTCAGGGGTGTCTATGAGGTGAGGTATATATTGAAACTAAGTGAGAAAGCAAATGTATTAAAGAAATGCGGCCGGGTGCGGTGGCTCATGCCTATAATCCCAGCACTTTGGGAGGCTGAGGCGGGTGGATCATGAGGTCAAGAGATGGAGACCATCTTGGTCAATATGGTGAAACCCCGTCTCTACTAAAAATACAAAAATTAGCTGGGCATGGTGGCGCGTGCCTGTAGTCCCAGCAACTCAGGAGGCTGAGGCAGGAGAATTGCTTGAATCCAGGAGGTGAGGTTGAGGTGAGCCGAGACTGCACCATTGCACTCCAGCGTGGGTAACAAGAGCGAAACTCCGTCTCAAAAAAAAAAAAGAAAGAAAGAAAGAAAGAAAGAAATGCTCTGAACAACTAGCAAAAATATGCATGAAAGCTGAGGAAGACCACAGTTATGACAAGGAATATAACCACATAGCTCTGAAACATGAGCAAAGACTGACACCCACAGTGTATTCTTCTCTTCCTATCTAGTAACAGAACCCAATATTATTTGAGGCAGCAATGCAAGCAGGAAACAACAACAGCTATATTCTCAGTCTCTTTTGGAGCTAAGTGTGGACTAGGTTCTGGGAAACAAATGAGCATAGAAGTGGGACTTCTGGAGACAAACAGGGGTGGGGGCCCCTCAGCAACCCCAGACGTGGGTTTGAGGAGACAGGTGGCTTACACCCCCTTTGCTGCTCTCCCCCAGTACCAAGGCAGGGTCCCCAGAGGAGCCAGCCACCCTCGCCACCACGTGGTCCCGACTCCAGCCCGCTTGCCCAGCCCTGCAGGCGTTTCTTCTGTGGGAGCGCCCCGCACGCTGGCTCGGAGTCCCGTCCTCCCCGCCGTCGTCTGCCTGTTTACACGTTGGAGTGGGGTCCTCCGTGGGCGGGTGCTGTCGGCCCCTTGTGCCCGAGCACCTTTCCGAGTGGACTCAACCATCCCTCACCCCCACCAAGGACCACACTGTGAAGTGATAACTGCCTTGAACCCTCCTTGCTGTTTTATTTATTAAACTTGATTTGAAGCCCAAAAAAAATCAGCCCTGCTGATTGGCATGATGGACATTGAGGTGACTTTGAAAATGAAAGCTGAGGCCAGGCGTGGTGGCTCATGCCTATAATCCCAACACTTTGGGAGGCTGAGGTGGGCAGATCATGAGGTCAGGAGTTCGAGACCAGCCTGACCAACATTGTAAAACCCAGTTTCTACTAAAAAAAAAAAAAAAAGAAAAAAAAAAGAAAAAAAAAAAAAATTAGCTGGGAGGGGTGGTGCATGCCTGTAATCCCAGCTACTCAGGAGGTTGAGGCAGGAGGATTGCTTGAATCCAGGAGGTGGAGACTGCAGTGGGTTGAGATTGCACCACTGCATTCCAGCCTGGGCAACAGAGTGAGACTCTGTCTTGGGGGGTGGGGGAAGGGAATGAAAGCTGGCCAGGTGCAATGGTTCACACCTGTAATCCCAGCACTTTGGGAGGCTGAGGTGGGCAGACCACCTGAGGTCGGGAGTTTGAGACCAGCCAACATGGTGAAACCACGTCTCTACTAAAAATCCATATAATTAGCCAGGCGTGGTGGCAGGTGCCTGTAATCCCAGCTACTTGGGAGGCTGAGGTAGGAAAATAGCTGGAACCTGGGATATGGAGGTTGCAATGAGCTGAGATGGCACCACTGCACTGCAGCCTGGGAAACAGAGGGAGACTCCACCCTAAAAAAAAAAAAAAAAGAAGAAGAAAGAAAATGAAAGCCTAAAGGATGGTGGAGAAGAAATATGGGAGCCTCAGGCCCTGATAATACTTTGATGATGACAAGCCAATCCTAGACTGTCCTTTTCTATATTCTTATAAGAGAAAAAACATTTCTTTCTTATTGAAGCCACTGTTATTACCCCCCACCCCTGATATATTTGGCCAAACCTAATTTTAGCTAACAGAAGCACTGATATTTGAAAAGATACAATTGGGTTTTATACTAAAGACCAACCCATGGAATAAAGATCCATGTTAGGTTAAAACTAAAGAAGTAATAATGGTGCTCACTTTGGCAGCACATATACAAAAATTGGAACAACACAGAAATTAACATTGATGGCCCTGACACAAAGATGATGTGCAAATTCGTGAAGTGTTCCATATTTTTAAGATAGTTGGAAAGAATAAACAATACCTAGTATTTGATAGCACAAGAGGGTTACAATAGTCAAAATAATTGTACATTTATAAATAACTAAAATAATATTATTGGATTATTTTAACACAAAGGAGAAATGACTGAGAGGATGGATACCCTGTTTTCCATGATGTGATTTTTTACACATTACATGTTTGTATAAAAATATCTCATGGGGCCAGGCATAGTGGCTAACACCTATAATCCCAGCACTTTGGGAGGCTGAGGTGGGAGGACTGCTTGAACCCAGGAGTTCGAGACCAGCCTGGGCAACATGGGGAGACCACGTCTCTATAAAAAAATAAAAATAAAATTAGCCAGGCATGGTGGCTCATGCCTGCAGGTCTAGCTACCCAGGAGGCTGAGGTGGGAGGATCACTAGAGCCTACGAGGTAGAGGCTGCAGTGAGCCAAGATCACCCTACTACAGTCCAGCCTGGGCTGGACTCAAAACAAACTCCCTCAAAAACAAACCAAAAAAACCTCGGCGGGGCACAGTGGCTCACGCCTGTAATCCCAACACGTTGGGAGGCCAAGACAGGTGGATCACTTGAGGTAAGGAGTTCAAGATCAACCTGGCCAACACAGTGGAAACCCCATCTCTACTAAAAATACAAAAACTAGCAGGACATGATGGTGTATGCCTATAATCCCAGCTACTTGGGAGGCTGAGGCAGGGGAATTGCTTGAATCTGGGAGGTGGAAGTTGTAGTGAGCTGAGATCACACACACCACTGCACTCCAGCCTGGGAAACAAAGGGAGACTCCGACTCAAAAAAAAGACAACTCATGTACATCATAAATATATACACTACTATGTACCCACAAAAATTAAAAACATTAATGACACATTATAGTTCACTTAAGCAAAATAAATACAAGGAAAATATAATACAGCCTAGCTAAGAGGTTCTTATCCTAAGGTCCATAAATGGGCTTCAAAAAGTCTGAAAATGCCCTGGAATCAAAAGAACATTAAAAAAAATTTTCTTTTATTTATGTATTCACATTTTTGTGAGACAGAGTTTCGCTCTTTTGAGTTCTCCTGCCTCAGCCTCCTGAGCAGCTGAGATTACAGGTGCCACCACCATGCCCAGCTAATTTTTTTGGTATTTTTAGTAGAGACGGGGGTTTCACCATGTTGGTCAGGCTGGTCTTCACCTCCTGACCTCAGGTGATCCAGCCCGCTTGGCCTTCCAAAGTGCTAGGATTACAGGTGTGAGCCACCATGCCTGGCCTTATTTATTTTTCAGATACAGTCTTGCTCTGTTGCCCAGGCTGGAGTGCAGTGGTAAGATCTTGGCTCATTGCAACCTCCCCGCCCCAGGCTCAAACGATCTTTTCACCTTAACCTCCTGAGGTGCATGCTACTACGCCCGGCTAATTTTTTATATTTTTTTGTAGAGACAGGGTTTCACCATGTTCGTCTCAAACTCTTGGGTTCAAGCAATCTGCCAGCCTCAGCCTCCCAAAGTGCTGGGATTTCAGGTGTGAGCCATGGTACCTGGTATCTTTTATTTTAAACTTGGGGGTACATGTGCAAGTTTGTTATCTGCAATTATAGTGTGATGCTGAGGTTGGGGTACAAGTGATCCTGTTACCCAGGTAATGAGCACAGTACCCATGAGTCAGTTTTTCAGCCCTTACCGTTCTCCCTCTCTCTCACTCTAGTAGTCCCTAGTTTCTACTGCTGTCATCTTCATGTCCATAAGAACTCGAGGTCTACTTTCCATTTACAAAGTGAGAACATGTGGTATTTGGTTTTCAGTTCCTGCTTAGCATAATCTACTCCAGCTCCATCCATGTTGCTGCAAAGGACATGATTTCATTCTTTTTTTGGCCGTGTAGTATTTGATGGTGTATGTGAACACATTTTCTTTCTCCACTCCACTGTTGATGAGCACCTAGGTTGATTTCATATCTTTGCTATTGTGAATAGTGTTGTGAAAAACAGAGAAGTACCTGTGTCTTTCTGGTAGAATTATTTGTATTCTTTTGGATATATACTCAGTAATAGGATTGCTGGGTCAAATGGTAGTTCTGTTTTAAGTTCTTTGAGAAATCTCCAAACTGCTTTCCAAAGTGGCTGAACTAATTTATATTCCCACCAACAATGTGTAAGTGTTCCCCTTTCTCCACAGACTCAATAGCACCTGTTGTTTTTTGACTTTTCAATAATAGCATTCTGACTGGTGTAAGATAGCATATAATTGTGGTTTTGATTTGCATTTCTCTGATGATTAGTGATACGGAGCATTTTTTCATATCACACAAGTTGGCTGCTTCTATGTCTTCTGGGAAGTGTCTATTCATGTCATTTGCTCACTTTTCAATATGGCTATTTGCTTTTTGCTTGTTCAATTGTTTACGTTCCTTATACATTCTGGATATTAGACCTTGGTTGGATGTGCAGTTTGCAAATATTTTCTCTCATTTGTAGGTTTACTCCATGGATGGTTTCTTTTGAAAAGAAACTGTCTCACATGTATATCCTGGAGGAAGTATGCTCACATGTATATCTTGGAGGAAGAACGTTCAGAGTATGAAGAGGAATTCAATCTTTTTTTTTTTTTTTTTTTTCCTGAGACAGTGTCTCACTCTGCTGCCCAGGCTGAAGTGCACTGGCATGATCATAGCTCACTGCAATCTAGAATTCCTGGGCTCAAGCGATCCTCCCACCTCAGCCTCCTGAGTATCTGGGACCACAGGTGTGTACCACTACCCCCAGCTAATTTAAAAAAAATTTTTTGTAAAACAAATAAAGGGTATTCAATTAGGAAAGGAGAAAGTCAAAATGTCTCTATTTGCAGATGACATGATTGTATATTTAGAAGACCCCATCGTTCAGCCCCAATCTTCTGAAACTGATAAGCAACTTCAGAGCAAAGTCTCAGGATACAAAATCAATGTGCAGAAATCACAAGCATTCCTATACACCAATAACAGACTTAAAGAGAGCCAAATCAAGAACAAACTGCCATTCACAATTGCTACAAAGAGAATAAAATACCTAGGAACACAACTAACAAAGGATGTAAAGGACCTCTTCAAGGAGAACTACAAACCACTGCTCAAGGAAATAAGAGAGGACACAAACAGATGGAAAAACATTCCATGCTCATGGTTAGGAAGAATCAATATTGTGAAAATGGCCATACTGCTCAAAGGAATTTATAGATTCAACGCTATCCCCATCAAACTTCCTATGACCCTCTTCACAGAACTGGAAAAAAAAAACACCTTAAACTTCATACGGAACCAAAAGAGAGCCTGCATAACCAAATCAATTCTAAGCAAAAAGAACAAAGCTGGAGGCATCACGCTACCTGACTTCAAACTATACTACAAGGCTACAGTAATCAAAATAGCATGGTACTGGTACCAAAACAGAGATACAGACCAATGGAACAGAACAGAGGCCTCAGAGGCAATGCCACTCATCTACAACCATCTGATCTTTGACAAACCTCACAAAAACAAGCAACAGAGAAAATACTCCCTGTTTAATACATCATGTTGGGAAAACTGGCTAGCAATGTGTAGAAAGTAGAAACTGGACCCCTTCCTGACACCTACACTAAAATTAACTCCAGGTGGATTAAAGACTTAAACATTAAGACCTAACACCATAAAAACCCTAGAAGAAAACCTAGGCAAAACCATTCAGGACATAGGCATAGGCAAGGACTTCATGACTAAAACACCAAAATCATTGGCAACAAAAGCCAAAATAGACAAATAGGATCTAATTAAACTCCAGAGCTAGAAACAATCATTAGAGTGAAGCGGCAACCAACAGAATGGGAAAAAATTTTTGCAAACTACCCATCTGATAAGGGCTAATATCCAGAATTACAAAGAACTTAAATAAGCTTAACAAACAAACCCATTCAAAAGTGGGCGAAGAATACGAACAGACACTTTCCAAAAGAAGACATACATGAGGCCAACAAACATATGAAAAAATGCTCATCATCACAGGCCATTAGAGAAATGCAAATCAAAACCACATTGAAATACCATCTCATGCCAGTTTGAATGGCGATCATTAAAAAAATCTGGAGACAACAGATGCTGGAAGAGGATGTGGAGAAATAAGGACACTTTTACACTGTTGGTGGGAGTGTAAATTAGTTCAACCACTGTGGAAGACAGTGTGGCGATTCCTCAAGGACTTGAAATAGAAATTCCATTTGACCCAGCAATCTCATTACTGGGTATATATCCAAGGGATGATAAGTCATTCTATTATAAAGACACATGCACACATATATTCACTGCGACACTGTTTACAATAGCAAAGACCTGGAACCATGGTCATGGTTCCAAATGCCCATCGATTATGATAGACTGGACAAGGAAAATATTGCACATATACACCATGGAATATTATGCAGCCATAAAAAAACGATGAATTCGTGTCCTTTGTAGGGTCATGGATGAACCTGGAAACCATCATTCTCAGCAAACTGACATAAGAACCTTCACCTCCCATGCTCAAGCAATCCTCCCACCTCAGCCTCCCAAGTATCTGGGACTACAGGTGCATGCCACCACGTCAGCTAATGTTTGTATTTTGTAGATGCAGGGTTTCACCATGTTACCTAGGCTGGTCTCAAACTCCTGAGCTCAAGTGATCTGCCTGCCTTGGTTTCCCAAAGTGCTAAGGTTACAGACATGGGCCATTGCACCCAGGCTGTTAATAATGCAACTGAAGTAGCTACTTGTTCTTACTAATGATTTTATGAAACTCTCTTGCAAACAAGTACGTCATAGACAAATTATGTCTGCACAACTCTTAGAGCTGTTTAAAGTAACCTAATAGAAAGACAATGACTAAGGCCCATTCCTTATCTCCAGCTTTGTAAGTCCCAGGCTGCCTGTGACACCTGGACTGATGCTACTGGGTCCCCTAGATCCCATGGCAACAATGGAAAAAGGGCAGGCCAGGACAAGCATGAGGAATAAACAGTCTTTATTGGGCTCAGACTAGGAGTCTTTGGGCCGAGAGGACCTTGGTATATTTGTCAGTTTTATTCTCCATGTTCTTTTTGGCCTTTTCCCATAGCCTTATGAACTGTTTTTCTTCTGGTAATAGACTTTTCTCTTCTCCTCCAGAGTAGCCATCACTGTCTGGTATTTCCTGTCAGCCTCGTAAGCCCAGTGCTCCAAGTAGGCAAATTTCTTCAAGGCTTCAGATGCACAGCCTTGAGGGTGGCAGAAACCACCATCTGCTTTTCCTTGTCATACAGCAGTGAGGTTCCATCAAACACCCTGAGGTAGTCCAGGGTAGCCCGGCCTTGCTTGGTCTTGTTGGGGAGCATACCGCATGTGGTCTGCCAAAAGATGTGGCTAGAGGCTCATAAATGGTAGGGTACTTGAGAAGGGTTGCTATTTGTCTGCTTGCAGAGGAAGGCTAGGTACTTTAATTTGTTTCTGTAGAAACTGCCAGAAATGTTGATGTCCTTACAGCACATGACCACTACTTTCTCTGCTGGGTCATGATAGCCTCTAGGTAGCCCAGGAGTTGGACTCAGCTATCAAGCACTAGGACTGCCCCTCTGCCATCTTGGCAGCTGCACAGGAAAACTCTTGTCTGCTACATTTCAAATGTATTTCATGTTGAATCTTTCAAACAACTGGCTAACAGTAAATATCCAATAATATAAATGACACTTTTACTTTGAAGATATAATTAAAATTTCCTGTTGCAAATTTTGAACCCACATGAGTGTCAATTTCATCTATTGACTCTCTTACCTCCTCGTGGTAACTCTGTGTGAAGATAGGCCAGTCCTCTGGTCACAGAATGAGCAAGACGGCAAGAGCTTACCCAGTCACTTGTGTGGAGACTCAAATACTTGCATAAAGATCCCTATATAGAGGGAAAAATGCAAAAGAGATAAAAAGGTGGAATTAACTTACTTTAACATGAAGAGGTAAGTTAGCATCCTTATAAAGAATTTGCAAATAGGCTAGGATTCCATGAAGATCCAACGAACTACAAGATTTCAGAATCTTGAAAGAATTAATATGACATTCTGGGTGTTGAGAGAAAAGGAGAGGATGGGAAGAAGGGGAATTAAAATATCAATTTTTTTTTTTTTTTGAGACAGAGTCTCACTCTGTCACCCAGGCTAGGGTGCAGTGGCACAATCTCGGCTCACTATAACCTCCACTTCCCAGGTTCAAGTGATTCTCCTGCCTCAGCCTCCCAAGTAGCTGGGACTACAGGCATGCACCACCAGGCCCGGCTAATTTTTGTATTTTTAGTAGAAACGAGGTTTCACTTTTGGCTAGGTTGGTCTCTTAACTCCTGACCTTGTGATCTGCCCACCACAGCCTCCCAAAGTGCTGGGATTACAGGTGTTAGCCACCACACCCATTCTAAACATTATCAATTTTTATGTCTCCAATATTAAAAATGATGAATGATTATTTCCTTTTAAACAATTCTTTGATAAAATTAAGAGACAAAACGTGTATCATTCACCAGTACAAATATAAATCATATTGTTACGGTTCCTAAGTAGAAAATAAAAGGCTTTTATAAATATATCTATGTATGTATTGGTGCTGCTCAAAGTGCTTATCTACAAACTATTACCAGTTGCTGATGAGAAAAGGAGTTTGCATCAAAATGAATATCAAAGCACTGCTTCCTTCATCAAAAAACTTATCAAAAAAATTAAATATAAAAGAGAATAACAAAGAAAGAGGAGAAAGCTAAATAAACAGTATAATTAGTAATATAGCTCATTCACATTGTGGTGTGAGATCCTTACTCTATTGCAGACCATTAATAATCCAGCTTGTGAGTCAGTAATGCTCTCTATATCAATACAGTGGTCCTCTCTGAAGTCTGATTAACAACTAATAAAAATGTCAATTTTTTTTTTTTTTTTTTTTTTTTGAGACAACATCTTGCTCTGTTGCCCAGGCTGGAATGCAGTGGTACAATCTTGGCTCACTGCAATCTCCACCTCCCAGGTTCAAGCAAGTCTTGTGCCTCAGATTCCTAAGTAGCTGGGATTACAGATGTGTGCCATCACACCTGGCTAATTTTTGTATTTTTAGTAAAGACAGCGTTTTGCCATGTTGGCCAGGCTGGTCTTGAACTCCTGGCCTCAAGTGCTCCACCTGCCTTAGCCTCCCAAAGTGCTGGGATTACAAGCATGAGCCACTGCACCCGGCCTCAGTTTATTTTTTATGAGGTACTTACATTGGGATAATACTCCATTACAAGCAAATATTCCATGCGTCCATCTGCAGTGACTCTCTCATCTCCAACTATAAAGCGGGCAATGTTGTCATGTTCCATCAAAGGCACTCTGTAAATGTTCTTTTCATTGATAAAATTCTGACGGTTTGCAAAGGAAAACACTTTTACAGCAACCAGACGCTCATCCAACGAGCCTTTATATACTGCTCCGTATCGACCTCGGCCAATCAGCTATATGTGTTTTAAAGAAAGCAAGGTATTCCCATGTGCATGTTCAAAGAGTAAGCAAAAAAAAAAAAAAAAAAAAAAAAAAAAAGAAGAAGAAGAAAAAAGAAAGGTATTAATTAGTATCATAATCGAACAATCAAATTTACTAAACAATAAAGTACAAATTTATATGGAATGTCACAGCTCTCCGTTGCTTACAGTTTATTATCAAGAAATCAATAAATTTTGTTCTAGTATGGTTGATGAAGCTCCTACCAGACCCAGTCTCCCCATAGATAGCATTTATAAATGCCAGACAAAATTTTTTAAAAATTTCTAAAGGCAGACAGATCTTGAGAGTCATTAAGGCTTTGAGAAAAACGTGGCATGGGGTGAGCTACCCGTTTTTTTTTTTTTTTTTGGAGACTGAATCTCACTCTGTCACCCAGGCTGGAGTGCAATGGTGCTATATCGGCTCACTGCAACCTCTGCCTCCCGGGTTCAGGTGATTCTCCTGTCTCAGCCTCCTGAGTAGCTGGGATTACAGGTGTGTGCCACAGTGCCCAGCTAATTTTTTTATTTTTAGTAGAGATGAGGTTTCACCATCTTGGCCTGGCTGCTCTGGGACTCCTGACCTCGTGATCCATCCATCTCGGCCTCCCAAAGTGCTCGGATTATAGGCGTGAGCTTCTGCCCGGCCTGAGCTACCCATTTTACAGCTTTTAGCCTGAGAGCAGGCTGAAATTAGCACTGTAGTGGAACTAAACTTGCTAAAGAAAACTGTTTCTAGGCTGAGGGTGGTAGCTCACACTTGTAACTCGGCACTGGGAGGCTGAGACGAGAGAGGTCAGGAGTTCAACAGTAGCTTGGCCAACATGGCAAAACCCTATCTCTACTAAAAATACAAAAATTAGCCAGGTGTGTGGCAAGCATCTGTAATTCCAGCTACTCTGGAGGCTGAGGCAGGAAAATCACTTGAACCCGGGAAGCGGAGGATGCAGTGAGCTGAGACCGCACCACTGCACTCTAGCCTGTGTAAAAGAGCAAGACTCTGCCTCAATTAAAAAAAAGAAAAGAAGAGAAAAAGGAAAAAAAAAGAAAGAAGAAAAGAATACTGTTCTGGCATTGGGAAACTCAGGGCATATTGGTAAAGCCACAGTTGCTGGCAAGTGAGGGGAGAACCCTAGAAAGGAGAAAGTCAGAGAGAGGGAAACTCGATAAAAGTACAAGACAGTCTCCAGCTAAAAATAAAATAACTGAACTGAGATTTGAGCTTCTGCCCCAGACAAGTTTGTGATATGTGTCCAACCAAGTTAAATGCTTACTAAAACAAACAAACAAAAAAAACTTGACACACTTTAGAAGAGTCCAGTGTCTCCACAATACAATATTCACAATATCCAGAATACAAAAAACTTACTGAACACACAAAGAACAAGCAAAATGCAACCCATTCTCGTCATTTTTGGCTTCTAGGGATTGCTTTCACTTTTTATTGAAATAGGTTAGGGATTTACCATCATTTATTTAAGGATGTATGTTGTATCTCATACACTATTTCCATGTTAAAATTATACAAAGTGTCCTTTAAAAAGGCTGTATCAATATATAGTTAATTCAGCAATTTTGGGGATGGTTTCTATGACTTAACCATGGTTAAACTTCCATGGGTTAATTAGTATTTCTTTCAACCTTGTAAACTGGACATTTTACTGTACATTTATTAGCCACACTTACTTCTTTTGTGAATTGGCAGTTAATATCTTTTGTCCATTTTTGGGGGGACGGGGTCTTTGTCGCCCAAGCTCACTACAACCTCTACATCCTAGGTTCAAGTGATCCTTCAACCTCTCAGTTTCCTGAGTAGCTGGGATTACAGGCGTGTGCCACCACACCCAGCTAATTTTTTAATTTTTTACCAAATACACGGGGTTTCGCCATGTTGCCCATGGCTTGAATTGAACTACTGGGCTCAAGCAATCCACCCACTTTGGCCTCCCAAAAATTCTGGGATTATAGGCGTGAGTCACCACACCCAGCCTTTTTGTCTATTTGCTGTAGAATGTTTCTTTCATCTTGATTTATATCAGTTCTTTATCAAGTTTTCCCTTGTATGTTGAATTTTTTTTTTCAAATTTGGCTTTTATCTTTGTTTATGGTATGTCTCTCCCAAAACAGAAAGGTCTTAGAATTTTTTAATATAGTCAAATCTATCATATCTATTATTTAATAGTCTCTGGTTTTGGGATCATAGTTTTCAAATCACTCTTAATAAAGATCATAAAAACACTTGTCATAGCAACACTTTTAATGTAGCTTCTGAGATATCACCAAATGAAACGTAAAGTCTATATATAAGAAGAGCCTTATGTATCTACAAAAACATGTAATATATGCATACAAGGAGTATTTATTTGTTGTCTACTATGGATTCCTTGGTGTCACACTGTTTTCAAAATTTCGTGTCTTTACTCTCATACCCTTTACAAATCTGGACTCAACGTCAACCCCTTTCTAAATATATTTTCTTTTTCTCTTTTAAGATGGAGTCTTGCTCTGTCACCTAGGCTAGGACTATAGGCATATGCCACCACTCCCAGATAATTTCTGTATTTTAGTAGAGATGGGGTTTTGCTACATTGGCCAGGTTGTTCTTGAACTCCTGACCTCAAGTGATCCACCTGTCACCTGTCTAGGCCTCCCAAAGTGATGGGATTACAGGAGTGAGCCACTACGCCTGGCCACATTTTCTTTAATAACCCCCTTTTCATCATTTTCTTATCCACTGTACTTTTCTTCATAGCATTTACTACTACTTGCAATTATATTATACATTCCTTTACCTGTCTGTAGATGCTCCAACACAAATATAAGCCCCAGGAGACACACCTGTATTGTTCACCTATATTATCAGTGCCTAGAATAGACCTTGATAAAAAACTGTTATTTAATAAGTAAAGGTTAAATAAATGAATGAATGTCTTAATGAGTGAATGAAATCACTGTTCCAGGTCTAGTATAATAGCAGAAACAAGAGTCCATAATCTAACAGCAAACTTACCTCCAACAGTTTCAGATTATCTAGGTCAAGAGAGGGTTCAGATGCTGCTGCCTCCATCATGTTCATACTGTGAAGACCTTGTTTACGGTCTCCTATAGGAATAGGAAAAAGGTTACTAATATATGTTTCCTTTTTTTTTTATTTTGAGACAGAGTCTCGCTCTGTTGCCAGGCGTCAGGCTGGAGTGCAGTGGTGCGATCTCGGCTCACTGCAAGCTCCGCCTCCTGGGTTCAAGCAATTCTCCTGCCTCGGTCTCCCAAGTAGCTGGGACTACAGGCGCGTGCCACCAGGCCCAGCTAATTTTTGTATTTTTTAGTAGAGATGGGGTTTTACCATGTTGGCCAGGATGGTCTCGAACCTGACCTCGTGATCCGCCCACCTCGGCCTCCCAAAGTGCTGGGATTACCGGCGTGAGCCACCACACCCAGCCTCATATATGGCTTTTAAAACATGATTATCTTTTTATGCTTTTTACAATATTATAGTCAAAAAGAAGAGCTGCAGAAAGATTGGCAGCAAGATTTACGCCTAATCTCAATAGGAATAAAGCTATTTACTAAACTTCCTAACATCTATAAATGCAGATGAATGCACAATAGCATGAAGGCCAAATTCTGGGAGACACTTAGTCCATGATGACTTAATTTAAAAGTTTAAAACCTTAAGTAATATTACAAAAACTTTAAAGAAGACTATATAGAAGTTATTCAAATAAATGAATGAATGAATGAATGCTGATTTCCTAAACAGTCCATCAAATCTACAGCTTATTAGAACCAACTGAACATTTGATGATACTGAGGAATTACTGCTATTTTTTCAGATGTGAAAATGGTACTATGAATATATATTCTTAAAGCCATTATATTATAGAGATAATATTTATAGATATACGATATCTAATTAACTACTTATATGATATCTGTGATTTGCTTCAAAATAATCCGGTAGCATGGAAAGGGGTAGTGACTGATAATTTAGATGAAACAATACGGTCCATATGTGATAATTATTTAGGCTGGGTGTATTCCGCATAACTTTGAGACTTTTTTTTCTTAACATAGGGAATTTAAATGGAGAAAATAAATTCTGATTAAATTGCATGTTTAATAAACAATAAGACAGAAAGTGGTGATTTTTACCTGTCAACATTCTGTATCCAAAGCATAATGCAACTATCAAAACAGCTAACACAGACACTGATGCCAAAGCAATGATTATTGTCTCATCTCGGTTAAATGAATGAGGTGGACCTAAAAGAAAACAAATTTTGAATTGTTATTTTTTTTAAAGTATTTTGTTAAATACTGACAGATTGCCCTTTAGAAAGGCTATATCAATGTATAATCAAATAAGTAATGTTTTTAGATCAAAGGAAATGAAAGAAAAAATTAGTAATAAATTTGTGATAACTGCAAATTATATATTCATACAGACTATTCCATATAGATCTGGAACACTGAAACACCAAGTAGGCGTGCTCCTAATTATTGAAATACCAGTTATGCCATGGAATAGCACAGACAGGATGGTATAATATTAAGAGTCTTAGAATCTAATAGTTTTAGAATCACATTTGGTTTTAAATCCTCGATTTCCTCATTTATAAAAATAGTACTCTGTATTTCCCAAGTTAGCTGTGAGGTTTAGATGGCAGTCTAAGTACTTAGTACACTGTCAAGAATATGTTTTCTGACTGGGCACAGTGGCTCATGCCTATAATCCCAACACTTTGGGAGGCTGCTGCAGGAGGATCACTTGAGACCAGGAGGTCAAGATCAGCCTGGACAACATAGCAAAACCCCAGGCATTAAAACAAACAAACAAACCAAATTAGTCAGACATGGTGGCATGCACCTGTAGTCCCAGCTACTCAGAGGACTATGGCAGGAGGATTGCTTGTGCCCAGGAGTTTGAGGCTGCAGTGAGCCATGATGGTACCACTGCACTCCAGCTTGGGTGATGTAGTAAGACCATGTCTCTTAGAAAAACTTTAAAGTTTTTAAAAAAGAATATGTTATTATGCAATAAATGGTAGTTATGTTTATCAATATTGATTTTATTATTAATAAAAATATCATGGCTCTACAGGCAGTCAAAACTGAATTGGACTTCAAGCTCAGTTCTTCCACTTAATATATGACCTTAGGAAAGTTTCTTCAACTATCTGGGCCCAAGTTTGCTCACCTGCAGAATGGAATGGGAACACACATAAGTAAATCACAGGGCTATGATGAACATGTAAACATTTTATGTGTTAAGTTCCATTCTGTGGGTCAGATCATATCTAGAGCAAATACCCTTTAGGATGGATGGCCACAAACTACAGCATATCCAAAAGAGAGCAAGTACAACTGTGAAGGTATGAAACCTCTGAACTGTGATGGGTAGAAATAACTGAAAGCATTTGATGATGAAAAAAAAGAAAACTTGGGAGGGTATGATAGCTGTCTTCATGCCAAAAAATGGACTTGATATGGACCAAGAAAAAATAACCAGTTCCAATTAATGTATCTGTAAGGATAACAATCTTTAGTTCAGCATACAGAAAAACATGGCTTATAAATAGACCTGTCTAAAATAGAATGAATTACCCTATGAAAGAGCTGTTTATTGTTTTACTAGATGTAGTCATGCAAAGTTTGGTAATACTGATCAGAGGCTGTGCTTGATGACTGCCAGTATCTTCATTCATTCTTTACATTCAATCAAAATCAAGCACGTTGTACTCAAATTAGAAGCTTCTGTGGCAAAGTAAGATGCCTCTATGGCAAAGAGTTCCTCTGATGGACATTCCTGTTCTAATGTATTTACTGATCTCAATCAAATTAAGTAGAAGTTGCTTATTAAAATGTCAAAACTATATTTCTGTAGAAAGATCTGTTGAAACAATACCGAAATACTCTTAATTTGCAGGCCATTTATTAGATTTTGTTTTCTCCTTCCCTCCTTCCCTCCTTCCTTCCCTCCCTTCCTTTTTTTCCCTTCCTTCTGTCCTTCCTTCCTTCTTTTTTCTTTAACAGAGTCTTGCTCTGTCACCCAGGCTGGACTGCAGTGGAACAATCCTGGCTCACTGCAAATTCCACCTCCCAGGCTCAAGCAATTCTCATGCCTCAGCCTTCTGAGTAGCTGGGATTACAGGCGGGCACCACCACACCTGACTAATTTTTTGTATTTTTAGTAGAGATGGGGTTTCACCATGTTAGCCAGGCTGGTCTTGTGAACTCCTGGCCTCAAGTTGATCTGCCCACCATGGCCTCCCAAAGAGCTGGGATTACAGGCATGAGCCACGGTGCCTGGCCCGTTTATAAGATATTAATAGATTATAACATATTGATCATTCTACCTCCTTTTAACATACAGAATAAGTTACAGGCAGAAAAGCTACATATAAAACTCATTTTACCACAGTGAGATATTATTTCACACACATTAACATGGCTACAATGTTAAAAAAGAAGAAAATCAAAAGCACTGGCAAGGATGTGGATAAATTAGAACTCTTGTACATTGCTGGTGGGAAATAAAGTGGTAAAAATACAGTAGAAAAAAGTTTACAAGTTCCTCAAAAAGTTAAACATGGAATCAGCAGAAGACCCAGCAATTTCACTCCTAGGCATATATCTAAAAGAACTGAAAACAAATGCTCAAACGAAAACTTCACACGCAGGTTCACAGCATTACTATTCACAATAACCAAAAGTAAATAACACAAATGTTCATAAACTGATGAATGGATAAACAAAATGTGGTATATTCAATACAAAGGAGTCACAAAAGGTTGAATACTCTTATGATTCCACCGAAATAAAATACCCAGAACAGGCCAAATCCATAAAGACAGAAAGCAGGTTAGTGGCTGCCAAGGACTGGGAGAGGAGGAAATAGGGAGTGACTGCTTATTAGATACTGGATTTCACTTATGGGGTGATGAAAACGTTTTTGAACTAGATAGAGGTAATAGTTGCACAACAATGTGAATGTGTTGAGTGGTACATTTTAATATGACTAATTGTAAGTTATATAAATTTTACTTCAATTAAAAAAAAAAAACTAAGGCTGGACGTGGTGGCTCACGCCTGTAATCCCAGCACTTTGGGAGGCCAAAGCAAGCAAACCACAAGGTCAGGAGTTCGAGACCAGCCTGACTAACATGGTGAAACCCTGTATCTACTAAAAATACAAAAATTAACTGGGCATGGTGGTGTGTGCCTGTAATCCTAGCTACCCAGGAGGTTGAGGCAGGAGAATCACTTGAACCCAGGAGGCGGAGGTTGCAGTGAGCTGAGATTGTGTCATTGCACTACAGCCTGGGTGACAGAGCAAGACTCCATCTCCAAAACACACACACACACACACACACACACACACACAACAAACACTAACTCATTTTAGAATTTGCTAAACCTAAAAGAGAAACTATTTTCAACACATAAATATATGCACACATACACACATATACAAAACTAAGTAATTTATAGATTCATGACTATACACAGATATTTTATGTCCTTATAGTTTTTGTTTTCCAGAAAATCATATAGTGGAATGATACAGTATATAATCTTTTCAGACTGGCTTCTTTCACTTAGCAATATGTACTTTATGTTCCTCCATGCTTTTTTGTGGCTTATAAGTTCATTTCCTTTTATCACTGAGTATTATCCAAGTTATAGATGTACCATAGGTTACCTATTCACCTACTGAAGAAAATCTTGGTTGCTTCCAAGTTTTGGCAATTATGAATAATTATTCGTAATTATAAATATCTGTGTAGGTTTTTGTGGGATGTAAGTTTTCAATTCATTCAGGGACATAATTGCTGGATCAAATGATAAGCCTATGTTTAGTTTGTAAATAACTATCAAACTGTCTTCCAATATGGCTGTACCATTTTGCATCCTCAGCAGCAATGAATGAGAATTCTTGTGTTCTGCATTCTCACCAGCATTTTACATTGTGTTCTGGATTTTAGTCTTTCAAATAGGTTTGTACTGGTATCTCATTATAGTTTTAAGTTGTAATTTCTAATGACCTATGATGACAAGTATCTTTTCATATAATTATTTGTCATCTGTCTATCTTCTTTGGTGAGGTATCTGTTCAGATCTTTTACCCACTTTTGAACTGGACTGTTTGTTTTCTTATTAGTAAGTTTTAACAGTTCTTTGTATATTTTGGATACAAATCATTTATTAGCTTTGTGTTTTGCAAATATTTTCTCCTAGTGTGGCCTTTCATTGCCTTGGTAAATAAGATAATGCTGGCATCATAAAATGAATTAGGAAGGGTTCCCTGTGCTTCCATTTTCTGAAAGAGATTATAGAAAAATGATGCTTGTTTATATATTTATTTAAGATGGAGTCTCACTCTAACCCAGGATGGAGTGCAGTGGCATAATTTCGGCTGAAAGCAACCCCTGCCTCCCGAGTTCAAGGGATTCTCCCGCCTCAGCCTCTGGAGTAACTGGGATTACAGGTGTTCACCATCACACCTGGTTAATTTTTGTATTTTAGTAAAGACAGGTTTTCACCATGTTGGCCAGGCTGGTCTCCAACTCCTGACCTCGGTGATCTACCCACCTCAGCCTCCCAAAGTGCTGGGATTACGGGTGTGAGCCACCACGCCTGGTCATGATGTTTCTTTAAATGTTTGCTAGAATTCAACAGTGAAACAATCTGAGCTTGGTGCTTTCTATTTTGGAAAATTATTAATTTTATTATATAATTACTATATATCATTATTATGTATATACATATATATACCTATTCAGATTACATATATGCCTATTAAGATTGCATATTTCTCCTTGTGTGAATTTCAGTAGATGTGTTTTTCAAAGAATTGATCCATTATACTTCAATTCTCAAATCTATGGACACAGAATTATTCATATTATTACTTTACTATCCTTTTAATGTCCATGAGATTGTAGTCATTACCCCTTTTCCCTTTGTGACTATTAAAGACTTGTTTCTCTTTTCTTTTTGGTAGCCAAGGCTAGAGATTTATTAATTTTATTGATCTTTTTGGAGAACCAGCTTTGGGGTATGTTGCTTTGTCTCTATAATTTCCTGTTTTTAATTTCATTGATTTTATTTATTTTTTCTTCTGCTTACTTTTTCTCTAATTTGCTCCTCTTTTACTAAAGTTAAAGCTTAGTAAAGCCCTGATTTGTTTTGTTAAATAAAAGGATATATATAATTAAATCTAATTTCATCTAGTTAGCACTGAAAAAAACCTGGCCAAAATT